ATCGCGAATTTTGTGTTTTTCAAAAATTATTTATTTATTCATGAATATCTATTTTGTCCCCTTCAAAGTAATCCCCATCAGATATTATACACTTGTGCCAACGTTTTTTCCAATCCTTGAAGCACTTCAAAAACTTATTTTTTGTGATCTCGTTCAGCTCCTCCTTCGATGCCGTCTTTATCTCCTCAATCGTAGCGTAGCGTCGTCCTTTCATGGGCCTCTTTAGTTTCGGGAACAAGAAAAAGTCACAGGAGGTCAGATCTGGGGAATACGGTGGCTGCGGCATCATTAGTGTGTTGTTTTTGGTCAAAAATTTGCGCACAAGCAACGATGTGTGAGCAGGGGCGTTATCATGGTGCAAAAGCCAATTTTTCTTCTTCCACAAATCCGGGCGTTTCTGGCGGATTGCTTCGCGCAAATTGCGCATAACTTGCAGGTAATATTCCTTATTGACCGTTCCGATTGGCCAATACTATGTATTTTCTTCACATCATCAATGTTTTCGTCTGTTGTTGACGTGCTCGGGCGTCCGGCAAGCTCTTCGTCGTACACATCTTCTCGGCCCTCTGAGAACATTTTGTACCACCGATAAACGTTGCTTCGGTCCAAGGTAGCTTCACCATATGCCACAGTCAACATTCGGAATGCGTCCGCGCACTTAATTTTGTTTTTCACACAAAATTTGATACAGATTCTTTGATCCATTTTTTGGAATAGGCAAAAATCGAAGACGAGCCAAAACACGTGCAAGCAAAGCAGCTGTCAAAAATTAACTGAACATTCAAAATGGCCGAACTTGTCGGCATAAGTGAGAGACATGAGTACCAACATAACGCCACAAAAAAATCGAAAATCGAATATACGTAACCCGCGGAAATTCAAAATTCGCGATACTTTTTGAACAGACCTCGTATTCGCCAGATTTAGCCCCTTGCGACTATTTCCTGTTTCCAAACCTGAAGAAATGGTTCGGAGGAAAGAGATTCAGCACCAGAGAGCTGCTTATTGCTAAAACAGAGACTTATTTTGAAGGGTTGGACAAATCATATTATTCGGACGGCTTGAAAAAGTTGAAGAATCGTTGGATCAAGTATATCGAGCTGAAAGGAGACTATGTTGAGAAATAAAAATGAATCGATCAAAAAAATATGTTTTACTATGTTTTTCTAAAAACTTATTGGCTTGCCCTCGTATGTGTTTTTTTGATTTTTTATTTAACAACGTATTATACCTCATGACGAGAAAAGATTTAGGGCTTTCGAAAATAAAGTACTTCGAAAAATCATCGGGGCAAAACGCGATGAGGAAACGGGCAAATGGAGAAAATTACACAACGCAGAATTACATCAATTATATAATAGTCCGGATATTATTAATGTCATAAAATCGCATCGATTAAGATGGGCAGGCCGCGCGGCGCGTATGGATGAGAATCGAATTGCATATAAAGTACTAATTGGTAAACCGGATGGGAAAAGACCATTGGGGGGACCAAGACGTAGATGGGAGGATAATATTAGAATGGACCTTAACGAAATGGGGTACGAGGGTCACAAATGGAGGGATCTGGCTCAGGGACGGGAACAGTGGCGGGATTTGGTATTTGCGGCAATGAGCTTTCGAGTTCCTGACGCCTAATAATAATAATAATTATTATTATTATACCTCATGAGAGAAATAAAATCAGTTTCGGACATGCCCTTTGTTAACAGAATTAATATCCTGTAAAAATGAATGTATCAAACTAATATTTGATAAACTGTTAGTTTAAACTATAAGGAATAGCTGAAGCAACATTTTACTGTTCAAACTAGATTCTTTGTATACAGGATGTCCCATTTTAAATTTGACAGTTAAATATTGGAAAATCGCGGAGTTTTAGAGAAAAATGTTTTAGACAAAAGTGATAGGATTTCGAGGCTGTAGTAATCTTGAAGTGCTCGACATTTTTCCAAGTTATTTAAAAGTCTACTTTTTTTTTTAATAGTATTTTTATTGTATAATTGAAAAGAGCGTTTAATTTTACTTAAAAAAATACTAAAATACTTTTGGTCTAAAAGCTTTATTTATGGAGATATTACATAAAAAAGAAAGAAAATATATTACATGAAATTTCAATTTAATAAGTGCTCAACATTAGCACCATTAACTTCGCAACATAATCTTATGCTCTGAAGAAAATTTGTTTCTAATGACAATAACACATTACGTGGAATATTGCGGCAAGCATTTCTTATTCTGCTCTTTATTTCTCGTCGTTGACGGATTTCGAAAAACAATATTTTTAAGGTAGCCCCATAAATAAAAATCTGCAATAAGATTCGAAGATCTTGGAGGCCAGGCGACGTATCCACCGCAACCAATCCATCGATGTGCTTAGCGTGTATTTATAATGCGAAAATAATGCGGTGGTGCTCCGTCATGTTGAATCCACATATTGAACGTGTATCAAGATCAACACTTTGTAACAGTCTGTTTTGAATCAAATGTAAATAATTTCCTACGATAACGGTACAATTAAAAAAATAAGGACCAATGATCTGTCCATTTAAAATTCGGCACTATACATTTAAAGACCAGCGATGTTGATTGTTAATTTGTCGGAACCATCTTGGATTTTGCATTGACCAGTAAATGACTATTGTTTCGGTTTAATATACCATTGCTGCAAAAATTACTTCATCACTAAACATAACGAAATTAAAGAAACCAGGAATTTGCTCTGTAGCCCATCGGCAAAATTTGACTCTCTGCCTTCGATTTTTTTCGCTTAAGGCCAGAACTAACGTAATATAGTAAGGATGGTACTTATAGAATTTCAGAATTCTGTGTGCTATTGGCATGAGTCTTGGCACTTCTAATTGACGCTCTATTTTTCGACAATTAATGTGAGGATTCATATGAACCATAACTAAAACAGCTATATTGTGTCTAAACGATTTTCATTATAGCGCCTTCTGATGACGAATATTCATTTACCTGACTCGTTTTTCTATAGTATGAATTGCTTGGAATGAAAGATGACATTTATTTGAATAGTCGTGCAGCTCCATGATAATTACGTCGACATTCGCCTAGCATTAAGAGAATATCGACGAATTTATTCCAAGAATAGTTAACCATAATTTTTAATTTTAAATAATGTACAAAGAGAAATGTTTCTTTAAATTTACAATGCAATCTATAGTATGTCATCTATAGTATGTCAGTGAATCACTTAGAATGACATCAAATGATCACGATTATGACCTTGATACGTTGAAATTTATTCAAATAGAATCCGAAGTTAATAGTGCTAATGTGTGTGTTGAACTCCTATTACAGGGTGAGTCAGGTATCTGAGGACATATTAACTATAAAACTAAAATTTGCATAAGTGACTCGTAGGCTATACAGTTAATCAATAAAATCGTCTTCGGTAATAACAGCTTCAATTCTCTGCCGGAAATGTTTGCATGCCCGAATCAAATGATCCTCGTCCATATGCGTCATTACTCTGGTAATAGCTGCTCTTAAGGAATCAAGCGTGTTATGTGGATGTTTAATGATCTCCCGTTCAACAACGCCCCATACGTAGTAATCCAAAGGATTAAGATCTGAGGAGTTAGGTGGCCACATGTTTGGGGTTATGTGATCATGCAGATTTTCGAACATCTAATCTTGCGTCGTCATGGCTTTGTGTGAAGGAGCAGAGTCCTGTTGGAATACGTATGGCCTCTCACCACGCACGCTATCTATCCAGGATTAACATAACATAACTACTTCAAAAACCTCAATGTAGGCAGCAGCATTCACCCGAAGTCCTTGAGGAAAGAAGTGGGTGGCATGACGTGTCCTTCATTGCTCACCACTCCTAAAACCATGACAGTTGCCGGAAATTTTGTGTACATAACATGAGGAAACATCTGATGGAACATCTGAAGGATCCGCACATAGTCACCTACCATTTTGTCGGTTTATTTTTTGATTTTGAACAACATTTTTTTTGTCAAAATAAAACCAGAGCATATCCAGGATTTCAGGATATTTTAACTTGTTTAAAAGTCGTTTTTCCCAGATGAATCGCTGTTTTCTAGTTTGTGCCGACATAAACTGACCTTTGCGCATTACGTAAGACTTGTACCGGATGTCTTCGTGGACAATGCGACGGATTGTGCACTCAGAAACTTGAAGATCTCTCGATATGGACTTTGAAGGGTCTTCATCAATAATGCCCTGAACTTGCTGCACAAAGTGTGATGTTCTAACTCTGCCTGAACGTGCTTCATGTTTTTTGCGCTTGGCAACACTTTCTACATTGCCATCAGATGCTTCTAACTCTCAACGAACTTTGTGATCAAACGATCGGGCGACTTTCAAAAATTGGGAGATTTCAAGATCGCTATGTTCGCGTGTATAACGATGATAACAGCGTGTTTTTTCATTTTATGAGTCAATTTATTGTCTTCCATTTATGATCTGAAAAGAAAAAAAAAACTTGCTGCAAAAACTTGGCAAACACATATATGAATGTCCTCAAATATCTGATGTACCCTGTACATTGAAATTTCATGTAATATCTTTTCTTTTTTCTTTTCATGTAATATCTCCTTAAATAAAGAGTTTAGTACAAAAAGTGTTCTAGTACTTTTTTACATTTAAATACTTTTCCCAATTATACAATAAAAAATATCACATCCCATTTAAAAAAATAAAGTTGAGCTTTAAATGATCTTGAAAAATGCCGTACACGGGCACTTCATCATATTATGACTCCCTCGAAATCCTATCACTTTTGTTTAAAACATTTTTCTCTAAAACTCTACGATTTTCTATTTGACTGTCAAATTTAAAATGAAACACCCTGTATAAGTTGTATGAAAGAAAAAGTACACACTCGTAAGCGATCTTACTCCATGCTCTCGTAGTTTGTCCTGTAACATCTTGTCAACTCAATCAGCTCTTATTCTTATAATAGTAAATAAATGTCATATAAGCTTTATCGATTCATTTTTTATTAGTTTTGCAGGATTGGTAGATGATCCAGATCCTTTGCTGCAACCAGCACCTATGAAATTATGTCACCAACTGATAGAAGATGTGAATTGGTTTAAGGTACTAAATATGTATTTTAGCGTAGGGGAAACCGGGGCATCATAGGTTTCATTCAATTGTTTAACATAATCTAGAATGTTTAAACTAATACTTGGTACAATACAGCTATTACTTCGTTGTTCATACTTTTTATTTAAGTAGCAGTGATTAAATTCCATTCGAAAAATATCGATTATTAATGGTTTTCGTGGTGCAGTAGTAACTTTTTAATCGCATAAAAATGTTTTAATATTGTTTTTATAGTAAAAGATACATATGTATAAAGATAAAGTGCAAGTTTCTGCGCATGTTTTCTCAATTCTTACTACGTTACAGTAATAATCTAACATTTGAAAATCTTTATTTTAGACCACATATGTGAGAATACAATCAATATTACAAATTAAAATGCCAAATGACTATAATGGTCGAAGCTAGATCTTTATTGCTTAGATGATTCAATCTTGAATTACTATATATATACGTATATCATATTGCGGCTTCCTTATTTGAATTGCGCGCCACACAGCGGCCATTAATCTTACAAAAGTGGACGTGTGCGCATTTAAAAGGGTGCAGCCTAACGTTTTTTGTACGGTTAGTTTAGTAATGACCATGCAGTGGACAAGAGAAGAGCGTGCGTTCGCCGTGGCGACTTACTTTTCCTGAACGTCTTATCTCTTTGAGGGGTGATCTTGACTGGCCAGCACGCTCGCCAGACTTAGCACCCTGTGATTTTTTTTTATGGGGATATCTCAAATCCTTGGTGTATACTAATCGTCCAAAGACCTTGGGTATGCTGAAGAACAATATTCGTGCTGCTATTGCTAACATCGACACGGGCACACTGGAGAAAGTGGAACAAAACTTTCGATTTCGACTCTCTCAATGTATTGACCAGAACGGAGGTCACCTTCAAGATATTATTTTCAAAAAGTAATAAAAAAAAACTTTAAATGTACCTCTATGTAAAAATACAAAGATTAAAATGACATTTCCAATAATTATTGTTTTATGATCTTTTCAAATAAGGAAGTTCCCGCGCCGCACCCTGTACGAGGTCTGTTCAAAAAGTATCGCGAATTTTGAATTTACGCGGGTTACGTATATTCGATTTTCGATTTTTTTGTGGCGTTATGTTGGTACTCATATCTCTCACTTATGCCGACAAGTTCGGCCATTTTGAATGTTCAGTTAATTTTTGACAGCTGCTTTGCTTGCACGTGTTTTGGCTCGTCTTCGATTTTTGCCTATTCCAAAAAATGGATCAAAGAATCTGTATCAAATTTTGTGTGAAAAACAAAATTAAGTGCGCGGACGCATTCCGAATGTTGACTGTGGCATATGGTGAAGCTACCTTGGACCGAAGCAACGTTTATCGGTGGTACAAAATGTTCTCAGAGGGCCGAGAAGATGTGAACGACGAAGAGCGTGCCGGACGCCCGAGCACGTCAACAACAGACGAAAACATTGATGAAGTGAAGAAAATAGTATTGGCCAATCGGAACGGTCAATAAGGAATATTACCTGCAAGTTATGCGCAATTTGCGCGAAGCAATCCGCCAGAAACGCCCGGATTTGTGGAAGAACAAAAATTGGCTTTTGCACCATGATAACGCCCCTGCTCACACATCGTTGCTTGTGCGCAAATTTTTGACCAAAAACAACACACTAATGATGCCGCAGCCACCGTATTCCCCAGATCTGGCCCCCTGTGACTTTTTCTTGTTCCCGAAACTGAAGAGGCCCATGAAAGGACGACGCTACGCTACGATTGAGGAGATAAAGACGGCATCGAAGGAGGAGCTGAACAAGATCACAAAAAATAATTTTTTGAAGTGCTTCGAGGATTGGAAAAAACGTTGGCACAAATGTATAATATCTGATGGGGATTACTTTGAAGGGGACAAAATAGATATTCATGAATAAATAAATAATTTTTGAAAAAACACAAAATTTGCGATACTTTTTGAACAGATCTCGTATACTATATTGTAATCTTTTGAACTGCGCGTCGAATTATCCGGATAAATTCCTATAAATAAATTCGGATAAATTTCCTATAAAATCTAGTAATCATAAATTAAATTGACAAGCAATTTTAATAATTTGATGCTAGATCAGATATATTATAAAGCTGCTAATATGTTGAAAAACTGTTAATAAATTTATTGCAAAAAATATCACCTCGGCCGGGAGTCGAGGTGATATTTCTTGCAATAAATAAACTCGAATCTCTCTGTATTCCGTACGAGCCTTCAGACAACCAATGCATTTATAATCCGGAAAAACAATTCGGTGCGCAGTTCAAAAGACTACAATATGGTATATATGCAAGTACATACTTAGTATATATAGTAATTCAAGATTCGATAAAACTGGACAAAAGGGGAGCAGCCGTTGATGATCTTGACCTTGATATATGTTGTTAAGATCACGACCCCGAGTGACCTTGAACAAATTTTATCCGTCGGTCATCCTTTGTTAAAAAGTTATTAATAAAAAATTTTTTTAAAAATAAAGTCTTTTTTCTACTACACGAAACAAAAATTCTCTGCTTTAAAATATATTTTACGATTTTCCACGCGAAGCGACTCTCACCCAGAATTGTACAGTCTAAAGTGAAGACTTCCACCAAATGTAACAATAATATTGAATTATACTATAATATATTAGCATATTTCGTGTTTTTATTTTTTCAATCACATGCCTCAGGTATGCTCACTCAGTGTATATCAGTCAATTAATGAGTTAAGTTGGATAAGAACACGTTTGCGAACATATATTTTCACAAGTTTCTCACTATGACTAATAGTTTTGACCGTTTGTGGAATTTCTTACGCAAAAGAAGTTGTCCATACGAAAGTAACATGTCCACAATGCTAAAATATACTTTGATTAACGCTGCTGAGAACATATTTTTACTGTAGAAATACATATTACAAAGTCATTCAAAAAAGAAAACAACGAAGAGTAATATAATATGTAATTTCCAAATCAGTGCATTTCACAAAACATGGTTTAAGGGGGCGCATTTGAATATTTCAAAAATATGTCTATTTATTGTTTATTTTTTATTGATGTCACCATCACGATATAAATTTTTAATGAACGAATTGGAAATAGATTCTAGGACTGTTGTTAATTGAACAAATTTTTATCGAGAAATAAGTATAGTACTATTGGTAATTTTTTTATATATTTGTTATTACGTAGAATTGTATTGATATACTATATTACTATTTCAATTAAATGAAACATATATTAATATATTATATTACTATTTAAATTGAATTGAACTGCAGTTACTTCAACAATGAATTACAAAAGAACAAAACAAATTGGAGAAAATAAAATTGTAGAATTAGAAGTAGTAAATGAAGCCGAAATCAGAAAGAGGAAATATAACACCGGACGTATAATTAGAGGGCAATGGGTCGTTGGAATCGATCGTGATACACATAACGTTTTTATTGTGCCTGTACTAAATCGTAACATTGAAACTATTTTACTAATCATTCAAAAATACGTTGCACATGATAGTATAATTCACATTGACAAATGGCGTGCGTATGATGTTTTGCAAAATGAAAATTATACTCACCTAACTATAAATTATTCTGAAAATTTTGTCGATCCTATAACTAATGTTCATACGCAGAACATAGAAAGATTATGGCGAGAAATGCGAGCAAATTCCTCGTTATGGTACTCAAGATTATCACTACAGTTACTATCTTGCAGAATTTTTATTTAAAAGAAGTCATAGTTACAATAAACGAATAGATAGTTTTTTTGATATTATGAGTTGTAGGTATCCATTAAGTGATTTATCTATTAATTAAAATTCTTTATACATATCGAATATATTTAATATTTTTATATTTAGCCTGTTTCAGGGGCGCACGGCTCTCACCTTCGATTTCCACTCGTTACATGAAAGTTGAAGGTGAAAGTCGTGTGCCCCTTTGCAGAGAGAGAGGTGGTGGGAGTCGAAGGTGAGAATTGTGCGTCTCTGAAGCTGGGGAAAGGGGAAATGAGAGTCGAAGGTGACAGTATATACTTTAAACTGTACAATTTTGAATCGCTTCGAGTGGAAGTTGTGCACCCCTAACACAGGGGAGGATGGGGTCGTGAGACTTTATTTTTCAAATAACAAAACTCAATCAACGGGCGAAGTAAGAGTCAACCACATTTTTTAATTTTTACATAAAATTATATATTGTATTAAACGCGTTTAGTTTCAGAGATGATTAATATCAGGAAACAAAAGAATGGTATCAATTTGCAGACAGATACCGAAGGCCTCCACAAAGCGTACATTCCAATCATAAATAGAGTTTGACTTTCGGTTACGGACAGCCCGTCTCCTCTCTCAGTCTGTGTTGATCCTCACTACTGAACGTACATGATAATCGATACATTATGTCTGTTTTACATATCTGCGTTCCTTCTCTCTGTACACATTTCAAAAGTTTTTTAGTTCTTTTTGGACAGATTAATTCAAACTTCTTACACATGATTTCTGGTGAGTTTTTTATGAAATGATTTTTATGAAATTTGTTTGAACTTTAGGTATTTTATATTATTTTATTTATACGTATTTGTCCGTTACGTTTTTTGTTTTTTAATTTATCCGTTTTATTAACTAGAACTTCAACAATGACAATTTTAATACTTTTGACTGTTCAACCATACGGAAATTATGTTTCGAGATCGAGACTCACCCGAACTGTGATTATTCGGATTATGCGAATACTTGCGACAATTGAATTTGTTCTGTTATTTTTTATTGTACTAATGTCTGAAGAGGGCTCAAACTGGTAGCCGAAACTTGTTACTTGTAATGTATTAGTTTATAGTTTTATTATTTATTATCTTTTGGCGTGATATTTCATCGCGTTTAATACAATATATAATTTTATGTAAAAATTAAAAAATGTGGTTGACTCTTACTTCGCCCGTTGATTGAGTTTTGTTATTATGTTTTGAAAGAGTCCTTTGAATTTGTTTATTTATTT